CGCAACCAGGACAGCTGCGGCGACAGGCACCGCCCACCGCGGAGTTCCATTGGTGGATCCGGGTCAGAGGAGGCGGTGAAGAGGCGTGGAGAGACGGGGATTGGACTCCCCTGAGGCCCGCCCCCGGCCCCGCCCTGCAGCCGCTGCTCCGGCTGCCCTCTCCCCTCCCCCTCGGGAGGAACGCGCTGGGGGCGTGGGGGTGGGCGGGGTGGCGATGGGGGGCTGGGGTCTCTGGTACCTGAGTGGGTACCAGGTCTTGGCCCTCTACTTGCTGAGGTGCGAAATCTCAGTACACTCCCCGAGGATTTTTCGCTTTTTACTGGAGCTGAGAGCCATCCCCATCCGCGCTGGAAGGGATGCGAGTTAGGGAAGGGGAACACGAGGTGTTTTGCTTGTCTTTCATATTAAAACCAGGCCTCTACCGCTTGCCACTGGTGGAGGGAGAACAGTATTTCCTTCAGGCATCTGCTGGATCCAGAGTTTGAAGACCTTTCTGGCATTTGAAGACCTTTCTCCCCCCATCACCCCTGCAGCCACATGCTGTGAGTCAGAGTGTCATTGGCCTTAATGAGTTTCCTGGTGGGACGGATTCCAGCACCATTTCCAGGCCTAGCATTCCCAGGGATGTCTTCTCCCCCACCTCATTCTCCATGGATCCCTACCTCCATCCCTCTCCCATCCTATTGCCACCTGGAGTGTCTTGTGACCTTTCCAGGAAACGCAATGAAGACACTTGCCCTACACTTGCCCAAGACAGTACCGAAGGCTGTCTCAACCTATCCAGTTAGTAGCCACTGGTCATAATTTGTGCCACCGACCTGCTACATGAGGAAGGTCCGAAACCTGTCCTGTGAGTGGTCCACAAAAGAAAGTTTCCCTGTTCAGGGCTGGCCTTATGAAAGTTATAACTCAGCCTGGTTTTAACCATCTTGTGGGTTATTGCCGGACAGCTTTTTAAGCTGGAACTGGCATGCCTCCCATCTATCCACCTCCGTCACAGGGCCAACTGGTGCTTTGTGTCAGCTTCAGCAAATGGGATGGGGAAGAGAAAGCCATTGCCCCAAGAAGGCAAACTAACTCCAGGGCCAAGTAGAAAAGGGATTCGGGATGATTCGGACCATGGTTTCCCATTGATTCATGCAGGCAGCTGGAAGTTGACCCGCCAAGGCGCTCATGGGAGTCATGCTTTCTGGCCTGGCCAACAGAAAAGCAGCGCCTTATGGTTGGAGGTGGTTTCCCTCGCCGCCTTCCATACCTGCCTAGAGCTGGGGATGCCTCGAGATGCAAATGACTTCATACCTTGGGTTCCGGCTCACCTCTCCTCAACACGGAAAACACCAGTTTTCTATAGTCAATGTGTAGTGTTACTTACTACTCACAGGGGGCGGGAGGGGGGACATTACTTTGAGTGGGTGAAAAGAATTGGTCGTGAATGGCAAAAGGAAAACATGATTCCCAAATGCATTATTCACAATTCTGCGATCCCAAGTCGTGACCTCTTACCACAAACCAAAGTAATACCAAATATCAAAAATAATCATGTCCCCTCTTTCTTTTGCATTGCTCCGGGTAGGAACATGGCATGGCTCAAAGATTCTGACAGCATAACAAGGCGTCGTTGTTTAATAAGCTGTCTTGCCGCAAAGGAGCTCATGGAATGAGGCAGGCCTGTTCTACTGAAAGCTCACAGGAGCGATCCCAGACGATGGAGCTGGCTACTGCGTTGACTGCATCTGGGCAGCTCTTTGATGCCCAAGTCCTGGAAAATACAGCAGTTCCCTCAGGCCAGGTTTCCTTGCCAGCCAGGCAATTGTTCCCACTCCGCACTCTACCCCAGCCCACAGCTCTCAGCCCTGGAGAACCCCCTTTTCTTACATCATCCCCTTCTGTAGGGACCTCCTTGGAAACCAATGCCCTCCTCCTCCCTCCTGGGGCCACCACCACTATCAAACTATCCCATCAATCATCCACTCCCAGGCTGTCTGGGGACCCTCCCAGGAGTTCCTCACACCCAGCCCAGTAACTGGAATCTCCAGGCACCTGGTTGCAGCCTTTTCCCTATAGCAGGGCAATGGGGGATTCTCCATACAGAGTCCAGATGCCAGCCCTCAGGCTGTGCCATCTCTGGCGAGGACTGTCAACTCCCTCCTCTTCTGCTACTCAAGACCGGGGCTGGGGACTATGGCTCCATCTGGGCAGCCCTTTGATACCCATGTCCTGGAAAACAGGGCCATTTCCTCAGGCCAGGTTTCCTCGCAGTATGTGGTTTCCACTCCACCACACTCGGTCCCCGACCTCCCCTCTCAGCCCTCAGCAGCTTCCAACACCTCTGGGTGCACACACCCTCCCACCCCAGCCCCAAAGGGAGCCCATTCTCCTTGCTCTAAGTTACATCTCAGCCAGGGCTGTGTGGGAAGTTTTCGAGAAGGTCCTGGCCTCTTTCTTCTCTATCCTCCCCTGCCTCCCTTGCTCCTTGGCTGTAGCTTTAGAACCACTCGTATGCTTCTAAGGAGTGCTTTAGAACAAGCCCACATCCTTCTGCCAGGGAGCCTGGCAGACGCCCTGCCCCCTGAAGTGGCTGACTGGCCCTGGAGGGCTAGGCAGGTTCCCATTCCTGAGTCTCCCACGCCACCTGAGCACCTCTTCCCTTTCCAAAGCCCTTTTGTGACATGCTCCTCCCCAGGGACATAAACCTTCTGAACCTGTTCCCCAGAGGTGCCCCTCAGTCCGGCCCTATTGTCCTCACAGAGGTGGCACAGCTGCTGTTTCCCTGGAGCTGTGCCATCGGCTGTGAGCGGAGGCTCAGGCTGGGCAAAGAACTCTCCACGCCTGAATACCAGCAGCCCCAGGAAGGCAACGCACAAGACCCGGCTCTTCATCAGTCCCAGCAAAAGCTGTTCTCTCTGGGACTGCGAAGACAGCTGCCCAGGCCTGTTGAGGACAGCCCAAGAAGACGCCCCTCTCCCACTCTCTGGCACCCTGCACATTCCATTTCATTTGCTCCAGCTAAATTCACATGCTGCTGACCTCGCTTTGCTCCAGCCCTCACCTTGGACTCCTCCGTGAGCCCAGGCCTGAGTCTTGCTCTCCAGCTCTGGACATGGGCTGGGCCTGCCTCCCCAGCAGGGTGCGGAGCCGGAGGTGGGACCTGAGCTCAGAACCAGCGGTGAGGCTGTTCAAGATGCAGAAAGCCAACAAGGTGAAGCTGCTGAATGTAGGAGCCTGGGTCTCTCAGCCTCCTTGCCCAGGAGTGAGGGGCCACCTCCAGGTCTCCACAAGTGGTGGAACCCTTCTAGGCCTTTGCCCGGGCAGTTCCCTCCATCAGAGCACTCCCTGCCCCTACCCTCTTCATCAGGAACATGCTTCCTCATCCTTTAAGTCTCACCACTCCTTCCAGGAAGCCTTCCATGAACAACCCCACCTCCAAGTCTGGGTTCCGGGTTCTTCCTCTGTAATCCCCTAATCATATACCACTCATGAAGGGCTATGGTTTACACATTTGAAGATAGATCGATGCTGTTAGGTCATCTCGGGCTCATGGAGACTCCACGTATCACAGAGTAGAATGACCAACCATAGGCTTCTCTTGCTGTAATCTTTGCAGAAAAAGATCACCAGGCCTTCCTTGGGCAGCACTGCCCGGTGGGTTCGAACATCTTTTAGGTTAGCAGTCAACAGAAAACTACTTGAGGCACTCTCCTTACATAAAGTCTCTTTATATATAAAAATGTGTGTGTTTGTGTATGTGTATATATACATCTACATGTATGTAGACATATATATGTATCTATGCATGTGTATAAGTGTGTATACACACATATATATACATGTACATACACACATAGAGATCGCTGACCATACTGAGAACTACTTTAGGGAAGGAACTATGCTTATTCCATAAAGTATTATTTGTGCTGATCTAGTGCCTGACAACAAACGTTCAGGGGATGCCCAGTGGAGCTAGGAATGAATGAATGTTTGGGGAGAGGAAGTTAAGAGGTACTACACAGTGGCTACTCACATGTTGCCCAGTGAAGTCTTCCATGGGCTGTACTGGCCTTTCTTCCAGGCTGCCATTGCTCTGGGTCCCCCGCAGGCTCCTGGTTGGGATGGGCAGACATGAATGGGTTAGGGCAGTGGGTGACAGTGGGCAGGAAGGGCAGGGCACCCTGGGGGCTAGCCAGAGAAGAGCCAGAGGTCGTTATCCCAAATGGAGGGTTCTATGCAGGATAACAGGGTGGCTCTTGTTTTCTAAGCCCAGTGGATTGAGATTCCCCCAGCCCAAGACAGAGGCCACTTCAAGGAGTCAACGGGCTAGTCAAGAGGCAAGAAGTGGGATCATGGTCCACCCCTGTTGGTGATGTTTGCACGTTCTGGACTGGTTTGATCATTTGGAAAGAACTGTCCAATGTCTACCAGGAGTCTTGGGATCTGTCATCACACAACTCTGTCACCTGGGACAAGTACCCTCGAGGTCTCAGGCACCTGGTGTACAGGATCCGGTTAGGTCACCACACGGGCTCATTCCAGCACTGGCATTCTAGTACCTTCCTAGCAGGTAAGGCCTATGTTCGAATTGGTGCAACTCCCGACCCAAGGTGGGGCTCAGCAAAATCCGCTGATGGCTGCCAATGCTGAGAATGGAAGGGAGAGGGTTTGTTTTGTTTTGAGAAGTGTGTGCATTAGACACCTGGTAAAAGGAGTGAGAATCTTAATCTTCTTCCATCTTCCCATCTTTGGCTGCCTTAAGTGGTCAGTCACAATTTGGGGACCAGTTCTGCCAAATGAAGCTCTAGAATTTCAAGAGAAATCAGGGGTGACGAGGGGAGCCCTTGAAGAGGACAAGTGGACTCCTCAAGGACGCACCTGGCCCCGTGTATTTCAGTGGAGGTGGAGGGCCAGCTCCTGTGGCAACACCTCTGCCCCCATCCCAAGGACAGGAGGGAGACAAGGCAGGAGAAAGCCAAGAACAAGGGAGCCGACAGGGAGGTGGGCGGTCCAGAGTGAGAGGCAACCCAAGTGGAAACTCCAGCATTACAATCAGTAGTGCGGACCTGGGCACCAGCCCCCCCTCCACCATGAACCAGCTGTGTGGCTTTGGACCAGGAACTTAGCCCTGGCTGGTCTTCCACTGGGGATAACGTCATCACTTGCCTGGGACCAGAGGAGGTAGATGAGCTTCTCATTGTCACTTCCAACACTAAGATCAGAGATTTTTTTTTTACGATCCCATGAACTCTTCCTGCCCACATCTTTGCCACCCGCTGACCCTGCTCACTCTCCCTCATAGAACTAAGCTTCATACATCTGTGCACAGAAGGACCTCACGGGCACTGTGCCTCTGTCTTCTGGGCAGTAGATGGAGAGGAGTATAACCAGAGGCCATGGGATGAGGTCATGGAGGTTCTAATAGGTTGGCACACCTACTTCCAACCAATACCCCCCTGCTCCCTCCACTGGCCGAAGTCTGAGTCTTTGCCCATTCACACCACCCTCTCTAACCTGGCTCATCCCATGAGGCATTTCAGATGTCTCCAGGACACATTTGCTGCAGCCTGGAAGCAGCTCTTCACTCAGTAGAGAAATATGGGCCTGTGCCTTTAAAGAGCTGCAAAAACTGCCATTGCTGCCATGGGAGAAGTGAGTGTTTGCCAACCTACTCCAAGTCTCCTGAGATTGATTTCTTGGTTCAATGCTCCCCAAAGCTACCACCAGACAGGCCCTCAGCACCAACCAAGAAGTTGATGTGCTACGTTCATCTTGCTTTATATAGAAGCAGAGAAGTTCAGTTACAGGACAAGGGTAAACATGCACCCCATCACCCAGGCTTATCGGCCCAAGAAGTATTTTTCACCCAAGCTGCAAGCATCGGTAGAGATGACGGCCCCCATCCCTTGAGCCAGGCAGAGCTAGAAGTGAGAAGCTTTGAGGAGGACGATCACCCCAAAATAGACTTGTTTTGTTTCACAACTTTTTTCATGAGGCATTGGCATCTCTTGCAGCATGGGGGGAAAAAATAGCCTGAACTGTTAACAAATAGAGATTATAAAAAGCCCCAACTGTTCCCCACGGGTTTCCATGTGGCTGCAGTGTTGTAGAGGGGTGGGGTGCTGGAGAGAGGGCAGGGGAGCTGTGTTCTAGGAAGCCCCCATCTCTTTTCAGCTGACCCATTTTCTCCCTCAGTACCTGGTTCTGCCTTGAGCTCCCGGGCATATTCATTGATGTGAGGGATGGGCATGTCTTCTGTTGACCCTCAGAAATGGTCCACTGTGCGTGTGTGTTAATGGCTTTTGTGTCCAGAAAAAGAATGCTTAGTACAGAACAGGGCAGCTGAAAAACATAACGACCTTGCAATGAGGTTCGCTTAGATTAGGTTGCACTTCAGGGAGGACAAGGTCTGCTTAGTAAATATGTGGTGGACACTTAATGTTCTTGTCAAGGTCAGCTCAATTTGAACCTGGACCCGCCTTGGGTATTTCTCGATGTCAATAACCAGACATTAGTTTGGAGTTGGAGTTGTTTTTGACCCAGATTAAAGAATTGTCAAGGGTTACCCAGGAAGGGGTCTGATTTCCCTGCTGGAGCGCCACGCTAGACCCTCTGCCCTAGCCCTTCTTGGTACACACTTGGACCTCGACAACAAAAGAAAGAGAATGAGTCAAAGGGGCTAGGGCAGGTGAAGAACCCCTCTCCACCCACCCCTCCCAAAGATTGCAGCCAAAGGAGGTTGTTAAACATCTGAGCAGTCGCCTGGCATTGACTTTTCATAAGCAGAAGAGGATTGTCTTTGGGGCTCCCAAATTCAGGGTCTCCCACAGAGTCTGGGATCAATGTCCCACCCCACCCTACCGTTTTTCTCCGCTTTTCCTCCCTACTGCTCTGTTCTGGATTTGGCTCTTGAATTGTGTCTCCTGAAAAGATATGTCCCAATCCTGATCCCTGGTCCCTATGAAACTGACCTAGTTTGTAAATAGGGTCTTTGAAGATGTTATTACACCTACTCGCTTATTGGCTAGCTTGTTATCCAACATTTAACATTTACAATAGCAAAAAAGTTACTCTGCAACTGTTTGGGGCATAAATGGCATATGTCTGGTAATAAGGCACCTTGGAGTTTGAGGCTGGAGTAATATCGGGGGCATAGTTAAAGCTGTGTGTCAACTTGGCTGGGTCACAATTCTCAGCAGTCTGGTAGTTATGTAATGATGATATTTGGCAGTTATGTAATGATGTAGTCATCCTCCATTTTTGCACAATGCGCTTTGCATAACAACCTGGTCTTTGGAACCCAGCCATGTTGATCCTGGAGGAGTGAGTGTAATTAACTGGAGTCATATGGTAGTAGGATGAGTCCTGATTCCATCTGAGTGGCACCCTATAAAACAGGAGGAGACACGCAGAAGAAAGGCACCCTAGGAAACCAGAGTTAGGTTGTGACTGCAAGCCAGAGAACACTCAGGGCTACCAGAGGCCACGAGAGACAAAATACCATCTTTCCTGGGAGTCTTTGGAGACAGCATGACTCTGTCAACACCCTGCATTTGACTCCCAGCCTTCAGAACTATGAGATAAAAATGTCTCTCCTTATCAGCCACTCGACTGCAGCATCTTGTTCAAACAGCCCTAGGAAACAAACACCTCCTCTCCCTCCCTTGCATGTGTCTCTCTTGTGCTGTGCTACCCTCTCCCTGCCTCCCGGGTAAACCAAACACCCAACTAACTAGTGGTCGCTGAGTCCGTCCAACTCACGGCCACCTGTGTGTTACAGCATCGAATGGCTCTGTAGGGTTTTCTCCGCTTTAATCCTTGACAAAAGAATTTCACCAGGATTTCCTACCATAGAACCACTGGGAGGATTTGAACCACCAACCTTTTCAATTTAATAGTCGATGAAAAACCCACTTGTACCATCCAGGTACCTCCTTCCTAGAAGAAGATTTTTATAAACACCAAGGGGGTTTGTAGAGGAGGGGAGGGTGGAGGGTGGGGTGAATAGGAATGCTTCAACCCTGTGGTGGGGCATCTGGCATCCAGGTGGTGCTGGTCAAGAGTTTCCTGGAGTGGTGACAGCTATGCGGGACCAACAAGAGGGCTGCATTCTCTTTGGGCCTCCCTCAGGTTGACACCAGTATGGAGCTGTTACCGTATCTGCCGTCCAGCATTGGTCTGACCCGTGCAGACTCAGTGCGTGCAGTCTAGCATTTGCCCCTGGGAGGGGATGGGCTTTTCTCTTGGGAAGCTGGGTGATTTTGTCCCTGGGTGGCAGGAAGGGCTCAGCTCTCTACTGCCAGCTGTTCCGCTCAGCCAAGGGCTCCTCAGGAGGAAGGAAGCCCAGGCGATCTGCTTCTGAAAGGTCACAGCCATGGTCATCACCGGCGTGGCAGCCACTCACAACAGTTAAACTGGGTGATCAAATACGACAGTGGTTCTCTCTACTGGTGGGAATCTGAAGCAGGTGTTCTCTTGCATGAAACAGAAGGAGCTCCAGTGCTGTGCTGGCCTACGTGCTGGGCTGCTAGCCACAAGGTCAGCAGTTCAAAGTCATCATCTGCCCCACGGGAGAGAAATCGGCTCCTGAAAAGATGATTTGCCTGCTCCAGGCTCAGAAGTCCCACAGAACAGTTCTATGCTACCCTGTTGAGCTGCTATGAGTCAGAACCTCCTTGAGGGCACTGGGTTGGGTTGGGTTGGGTTGGGTTGGGTTGGGTTGGGTTGGGTTGGGTTGGGTTGGGTTTGGGACCTAGGAACAAGCTTTTCAAATGCCGGAGGGAGGGAAAGCTGGGTCAAGAAGGCTGACTAATGTGACTTGACCCAAGCCAAAGTATTATTTTGTAGGGTGTGGCCATTCTAGGACATCCAGGCATGTAATGAGCCGAGGACAGGGGAGGCAGGCCAGGAGCCCGCGGGCTGACGCTGGGGCACCGAGTTGGAAGCTTTTCGCAGAACAGGCAGAACCACTCACCTCATGGCAGCTCCCCCTCCGTCCTTGATCCTAGATTCCGAGGCAGGGAGGTGTGACAGGATGAGGGACTGCTGGGCTGCCCCTTAAAAGTCCAAGGCAGCCTGTCTCAAAGGCCGCTGAGGACACGCTACAGGCTGTCTGTGGTTTCCCACACACTCTGGCAATCCAGCCCCTGCCTACCCTCTCTTTCTCCAAACCAACCCGATTCCTCCGCCCTATAAGGGGAGATAGCCCAGCGAGCTCTTCAGGAGCCCAGGCCACCCATGGGATCCTCGAGCTGGTGGTAGCAATCAGAGGAGAGTCGGGACCTAAACTGCCACCTCCACACCGCACAGGGAGTGCTCAGGACCGTTCTGCTTCAGGAGATCTTGGTGGGCGTCTGCATCTGCTGCGGTCACCACGTTGCAGATGCGGATGTGAAGGGCAGTTCCTGATATCACAAGGCCAAAGGAAGGTGAGGGGTGGTGGACCAGTCCCAGGCATGGGCAGCATGGTGGAAGCATAGGTTACAGCCCAACACCCAGCCCCAGCCCAAGTTATATCACTTAACCTGGGTCACAGCGTTCTCTGAAACAGTGTAGTTGGTCTGTTATTCACGCCTTTGTCTGTTCCTTCTCTCTCCCATTTATCAAATGCATCTTAAGCGCCTCCTGTCCAGACCCTGCTATAGGATCGTAAGGATCACATGCTGGTAATGCTCTTACTAGCCTGAAGGAGCCTCCGCTGAATAACTATAATGATAGTAATAATGATCGATTGGGTGTTTATGACACACCTAGCGTTTGTGCTAAGAAACCTAAGGGGTGCGAGTGAGTTGTGATCCGCTGCTGACGGAAAGGTTGATGGTCCATACCCGTGGGAGAAAGATGGACAATCTGCTTCTGGAAAGACGGTGGTTGTCGTTAGGTGGCATCCAGCCAGTTGCGACTCTGAGTGACCAACAGAAGGGAATGCGGCCCGGCTGTGTGCCCCCCCTCACAGTAGTTATGTCTGAGGACACTGGAGAGTCCCCTGGAGCTGTGCTCCTCTGTAACACATGGGTTCTCATGAGCTGGACACCACGAACCACACGGGCAGTTGGTGCACTCAGCTTTCTATCGACTACTTCGAGAGTCACAACCCTCCCGGGAGCCCCACAGGTGTGGCGACCCCTCCCACTGATCGCCTCCTGAGAAACACCAACAGCTCACTGCCACTGAGTGCTTCTGACCCCTAAGAGCCGTGGCCGGGAGGAGACAGAGCAGGTTTCTGAGACTATAAACCCTTCTGGGAGTCGGAAGCTGCATCCGTCTGCCGAGGAGCAGCTGGGAGTGTCATCTTGCTGGCTTTCCGGTTAGCAGCCCAGCACACAGTCCACTCCCACGGCTCTTGGCAACTTTACAGGCCAAAGGAAAAGGCCTCACCCACCGTTCTGAGGCCACGCATCTTCGTGGAAGCCGACGGCCCCTTCTTTCTCCCGCAGAGCAGCTGCTGGGATCCAGCTTCAGACCTTTCTCGGATAGAGCCACCAGGGCTCCTTAATTCTGCGAGAAGTGAATTGTCATCCTTGTTAGGCAGATGAGGAAACGGAAGCCAGACAGCTCGGGAGCAGCTGCTCACAGGAGATGGGCAACCGCTAGTCCTTCCAGCCCAACCCTAGAGCATTAACTTGTTTGTAATTCACATGAAAACGACTATTCATCTTACAGATGGGAAATCTGAGGCCAAACTGACCTGCCCAGAGCCACCGTGCTCAGTCCTGTCCTGTCCAGGGCTACTGGCATCAAGCCAAAGAGAGCCCTGGCAGTGCAGTGGTTACGTGTTGGGCTACTAACCATAAGGTCAGCAGTTCAAATCCATTACTCACTCCAAGGGGGAACAAAGGGGCTTTAGACTCCCGTAAAGAGTTACAGTCTCAGAAACTTACAGGGGTGCTTCCACCTGGTCCTCTAGGGTCACTATGAGTGGGTATTGACCTGATGGCAGCCAGTGAGCGAGCGATCTTTGGGCTTCAGCTGCCTGGCTTGTTGCATTTCCTGCCCTACCCCTTCAAAAAAACAAAAACAGCTGCCGTTCAGCCAACTCCCAATCCACGGTGATCCGTGAATGCTCCATGGGGTTTCCTATGGCGGGTCTTCTCTGAGCTGTTCCAGGCCTTTTTGTCCCGAGGAGCTTCTAGGTAGATTGGAACCACTAACCTGTTGGTTAGGTTTAGTAGCTGAGGTTTGTCCCACCCAGGGATTCCTGAGATAAGGGAACTCGGCTTAAAGGTGAAGGCAAGGGGAGAAGATCAAAATGCCCATGCTGGCTCCTGCGAGGAGAGTCCACAGTACATATGGTCAGCTCGATCCTTAACCGGCCCTTTCATTCAGGCAGACCCATCTCAGCCAGGCTGACAGCCCTGCAGAGCCTTTGCCAAGGCCCAGGGCTGCCAATTCCTGGCTCCTTCTCTGAGGAACAGCTCGAGGGTCCTCAAGGGCAGCCTAAAGGATGCTCCTTCACAGGGAAGAACAGCAAGCTGTTGTCTCTGTGGCACTGCCAGAAATCCCAAGGGAATGGGAAGGGGCTCCTATTTGGGGTGGGGGGGTGGGATTGGAGGGTGAGGGATTATGCTCAGCTTCTTTTCAGATAATTAGATGTCCTTGCCAGAAGCAGCAGCTCCTGCAATGGGGAGGGGCTGCTAAAAGGCCCCCTGGGTCTAGGGGTGAGTAACACGAAAAGACCAGGTGGACATAGACGGAGAGGGAGAGGGGTGGCCAGAGGGGACCCATGCAGGGACCAGTCCAATATTGGCAGGGCCACTTCAGGTTGGGATTGGAGGGGGCCCCCGGTGATTCATTATTCAAGCTTGGCTGCCCCTCCACAGGACAGCGGCTGGAGCCCCCCAACCACCCTACAGGAAACAGGTGGCCGTCTGCTTCCGTAAAGATCACAGCCTTGCAAACCCTATGGGACGAGGGTTCTTCCGCCTGGGGAGAGAGGGTGGGCACGACTACTGAGGGTGTCCCAGCATCACATGCTGCTGCAGGGCTCTGCCCAGACCAACCCTCCTTTGATGGATCAGGATTAAACCCGCGGTTGGAGGTGGAGCACGGCAGGCATGCACTGCTTCCGGCACCCCGCAGTTCTCTTTTGCATCCTGGCAGGGCTTGGGAGGAGCTAGCAGGTCTACACGTGGCTGCCATAGACACCCTGGCTATTCTAGCTGCAGATGGAACCTCTCCACTTCCTGCTCTGGGTCTGCACAGTCAGGGAGCTGCTCCACCCTGTTGAACAAGGCCCCCAACACCTCGCTTCCCACCCCCGACCCCCATCCCATCCTCCCTCCCTGGTTTCCTTTCTGCTGCTGAGCTCAGTAAGTAGTGTGCCTGGTCTGAGTGACCAGGGAAAGGCAGGCAGCACAGCCAGGGCTGAGTGATTGAGTTCTCTCTTTTGCCCAGGCAGAAGGCAAGGGTCCGGGGGTGGTCTCAAGTCCAGCATGACATGAGCCATAGACTTACCTGTTGCTTCTCCCTTGGGGCCTATCAGCAGGTCAGGAAGCAAGGGAACAGCGTCACCGGCCAGGTACATGGGAAGGAAGGTGTGAGAGAAACACAGAGATACACTGGGTTTTAAGGGCTGGGATCCAAATCCCAGCCTATGGGCAGCCAGGTGAGGGATATGGTTACTGTATCCAGGGGTGTGACTCAGGAGGCCACCCTATTGGTCAGTTCCCTCCCCCTGCAGGGCTGGGCAGACAATCCTCCCAGGAGGGCAGTCCTGTTCCCACCTGCGTTCAGGTAAGCTTTCTCGCCTTGGCTTGGCTCAGGCCAGAGCCCCAAAGGCTTTGCTTTGGTTGGCCTTAGGCTCTCAGTTTTATGTCTGTCCTGGCCTGGCCTTCTTAGTCTCTGGTGACTCGGACTGCTTAGGAATTTCACTCACCGACTCTCTCTGACGCACGGCCTGTTCCGAGATCCTGGCCTTGAATCAGGGCAACAGCACTTTGGCTTCAAATCTCACCCCCACTCCCCCACCTCTCCTCCATAAACTTTGGCTACCTGTGCTAGGGGCTAGAGGGGCTCGGGAAGGGGCAGGTAGGCTGGGAGAGCAGGGAGGGGAATGGCTGCTGGGTGAAGGGTGCCTGTTCTGCTCAATTGAACACAGAAAGAACATGAACAGCAGGGGAGCTATTGACTTGCAGTGGTCAGCTATAGCAGGCTGGCCAGCAGGAAATCAAGCCATGAAACCAGGGGGTGTAGTTTTACTCTGCGGCCCATGGTGCTACCCAAATGGCGGTTGGTTTTTGTTTGAGCATGTGTGTATTTCAGTAGTATCTTGTGTTGTTCTGGTTCCTTAATGAGGTTAGCGAATATAGGACTTATTTATATATGCTACAGGAGCCCTGGTGGCATCGTGGGTGACTCTAAGGGCTGTGAACTACAGGGTCAGCAGTTCGAAGCCACCAGCCGTTCCATAGGAGAAACACGAGGCTTTCCGTTCCTGTAAAGAGGTGAGGTCTCAGAACGCCCCAGGGGCAGTTCTACCCTGTCCTGTAGGGTCACTCTGAGTCAGCATTGGCTCGATGGCAGTGAGTCTGGAGTTTTGTTTTTTAAATGTATATATCCTGTAACTGATATTTGTTTTTTAAGTTCTAAGTGCCACAAATATTTTTCTCTGGGGAAGTGGTTTGTCATATTTTGATGATCATAAACAAAAGTATTTGTAAAGGATAGCTATTGAAAACACCGGCAGCTGATCTTCCACCAATTCAATAACATCTGCAAGGACAATGCAGTGGCACCGGCCCGTCTCTGTCAGCCCGCCGGTCTCCTCCCCAGCGTAAGCCCACTGCCCCCTCAGCTTGCCTTAGGTTGTGCGCTCAGTTTGATTCCACAGAGACCGTTCTTTGAAAGAGCACATTGCTCTAGGTAAACATCCCTTACAAAACTCCCCCAAACCAATCTACTGTTTGGTTTAAAAAATACTTCAGGGACTATTTTGGTTTAAGATTCCAAGATTATCTCAAGATAATAGTTTCAGGAATTTAGCCTCACTGCTTGAAAAAAATGTTTTCCTTTTCGTTTTTTCAATTCTGTTTCACATTTCCCCCCTTTTCTTCAGGACGCTTCCGTGACATACTTGATGAAAAGATTCCGCAGTGTGAGCTGGGAGCCTTTCGCGCTTCTGTCCTCCTGGCAAAGGAGGCCGTTGCCCATGGAGGCAATCAGTCACACCTTCTACTCCCTCCGGTCCCTGAGTGGCCTTCTTCCTCTGTTGTGCCAGGTAAATAGAACCCGGTCCCTGGACCTGCCATTACCTGTGCAGGTACTACCCAACAGACCAGAAGGCAGAGCCACCAAATTCACTGCCAGCAAGTCAGTGCCAAGTGACAGAACTGCCCCGGTGAGCTGCTGAGACTATAACTGTGGACAGGAGTAGAAAGGCCCGTCTTCTCCCTCTGGGTAGCTGGTGGTTTCCAACTATTAGCCTCGTGGATTGCAGACCGGAGCCCCCCAAACACTCTCCTCAACCTTACTGCCATCGAGTCCAGCTGACTCAGCGCGACCCCTGTGGGTTTCGGAGACTGTAACTGTTTACTGGAGTAGAAAGTCCAGCCTTTCTCCGTCAGAGCTCCTGGTGGTTTTGAACTGCCAACCATGTGGATCACAGCCTAACTTGTAATCACTACACCACCGGGGCTCCTCGCTAGTAAACCAATTAGCTGGGATGTCCCATGAAACCATCGCCCTAAACCTTCAGAGCAAGAGATGAAATTGCACGAGGTTTTTGGTGGTACATCACCGGGCTCAACAGCCGCTTTGTGGGGATCGGGTTTGTTGGGAAGGGGAGTGCAAAGATATAGCTCAGGGAACACTTGCCAATCCAACTTGAACATAAATTCTTAACTGGTTCGCAGTTGAATGTATCTATTTTTCTTTCATGGTTCGTATACTTTGGCTCTTCATTAAGAAATCTGGCCCTGTCCTAAAGGGATAGATATCATTTCTTATGTTATTTTTTTCCTCAAACATATCAAACCTTGCCTTTCTCCATGTGAACTTCGCTTTTCTGTAGCATGGGAAGTTGTGATTATTTGTTGATTTTGTTTTTAAGTAAAAGGGGGAAAAAAGTATTTTGTTTCAAGAATATTGTCTTAGTTGTAGAATTTACAAATGCTTGTTAATAAATATTATAAATACATGCCAAAACTTAGAAAATATGAAAAAAATTGAAACCACTCAAAGTTTTACCATCAACACATATGCTGTTTTTGTGGTGAAAGGCGTTGAGTCAATTCGTACTGCCCGTCCTTGTGTCTGGGGGAGAACTGCTCTGTGGGGTGTTCCAGGCGGGGCTTTTAGAACCGGCTCACCAGGCCTGTCTTTGCAGGGGCCTCTAGGTGGACTCAAACCACCAATACTTCGACCAGGGATTGAGTGCCCCACAAGACTCCTGTCAAATTCATACAGACAGTAAAAATCCATGGTTAGTATAAAACTCAAACCCAAACCGTGAGATCTGCCGATGACACAACGTTACTTGCTGAAAGTGAGGAGGACTTGAAGCACTTGCTAAAGAAGCTCAAGAACTGTAGCCTTCCCTGTGGATTACAATTCAATGTAAGGAAAGACCAGAATCATCACCACAGGGCCAGTAGGTCACATCATGATAAAGGGAGAGAAGATTGAGTTGTCGACAATGTTGTCTTGCTTGGATTCACTGTCAATGTCCATGGAAGCAGCAGTCAAGAGATCACACGCTGCATGGGAGTGGGGACATCCGCTGCACAAGACCTCTTCAAGTGTTGAAAAGCAGGGGGTTTACTTTGCGGAATAAGGAGTGTGGCCTCACGTGCATGTGAACGTTGGACACTGAATAAGGAAGAATGAGGAAGAATTGGTTGACTGAACTGCAGTGCTGGCAAAGAACATTGAAAGAACCACGGACTGTCAAAAAACCAAACCAATCTGTTTTGGAAGAAATACAGCGAGAGTGCTCCTTAGAGGCAAGGGTGACGAGGCTTGATCTCATGTACTTTGGGCATGGCGTTGGCCTCTGCTCCAGTCCCTGGGGGTGATCATGCTTGGTAAAGTGGAGGGGCAGTGATGGATTGTGAGGCCCTTCACAGGATGGATTGACACAATGGCTACAACAATGATAGGAATGGATGAGAGGATGGCACATGACAGACAGGATTTCATTCTATTGTCCAGAGAGCGGCTATCAGTCAGAGCCAACTCAAGGGCACCTAGCAACAGCACAGGGCCTCCAAGGCAATCACCTTTACAGAAGCAGACTGCCACATCTTCCTCCCCTGAAGCAGCTGGCAGGTCTGAACCACCCACCTTTTGGTTAGCAGTCAAGTACTTAATCACCAGTCCGCCAGGGCCCCTATGGTCAGGATAATGTTGTCTAGATAGCATTATACAAGGAGCCCTGGCGGCATAGCGGTGACACTTTGTGCTGCAAGCTCAGCAGTTTGAAACCAGGAGCTGCTCCTTGGGGGAAAAAATGAGACTTTCTATTCGCATAAGAGCAAATGTTTTGAGAATGATGAGGGCAATGAATGTACAAATGTGCTTTACACAGTTGATGTATGTATGGATTGTGATAAGAGTTGTATGAGCCCCTGTGTTAGTCTGGGTATTTTAGAGAAACAAATCCACAGAAACTCATGTATAAGAGAGAGTTTTATATAAAGGGTAAGTGCACATCAAGAAAATATCCCAACCCAGTGCTGCCCAAGCCCACAAGTTCAACATTAACCCATTAACCCATATGTCCAACACCAATCCACAAAGTCCTCCTCCATCTCACAAAACAGACACAATGATGCCGACTGCAGGAGGAAAGCTGAATCAGTGAATGTGTAAGCATCTCAGCACTGGCAGGGGTCTCCACATGGCTGCTCCAACACCCAGGGCTGCATTGAGGTAGGTCCATGTGGCTTCTCCTTGGGGATGTCTCGCAGGAAGTCAGCCTTGCCAGCTGAAGCAGGGAAATGGCTAAGGCAGCTGCACCCTGGTCTGACCATCAGAAAGCAAGAGACCAGAGAACTAGAAAGGCGAGGCTCACCGAGCCATTTATTTCTCCACCCTTCAATTAACCCCACATGTGTTTATCGGCCAGGTTGGCACAATAAACTAACTACCTCAGCCCCCAATAAAAATATATAAAATAAAAATAGGAAGACCCTCAAGAAAGAAAGCATTTGTTTCTAATTTCAACAAAATGTAATTCTAATATGTGTAATGCGTGTAATACGTATATTTAAAACTTTTGAACGGCTTTTCAAAAATCATACCTGCTCATATCTAAGGCAAATCTGTCCTATCAGGTAAATAAATAAATAAATTACGGGGGTGGGGGGGAGCCTTGGAAATCCACAGGGACAGTGCTATCCTATAAGTCCTATAAGGTCACCATGAATCACAATCGACTCAATGGCCATGAGATAAAGTAGTATATTCTTTTTTTGTATCTTTCTTTTCTTATTCTACAAGCTCATGGTAGAAATTTTAGAAAGTAGGGGGGAAAATAGTGCACATG